TCATCATCATCATCATCATCATCATCATCATCATCATCATCATCATCATCAATTAATCATCATCAATGAATCATCATGACCTGGAAGTTCTCTCATGACCACAGGGCCTCGATCAGTTTCCTCTTTTGGCAATCGTGAGGATCTGATTGATCGATTGGGTCGGGCCTAGACAGAGCGATGTTCAATGATTTTCACAGATACTTGTTTTCTTGTGACATTGGGAGGACTGTGGCAGTTCTGGGAATGAGATCTTAGAGACAAGAAGTCTTTCTTGATGTGAATTGGTCCCAGGCATGGAGTGTGTAGAAAAGACCTCACCATCTCTCATCAATGTACCACCAACATAGTAATAATCAAGCTTGCTTACAGCCAAAGTCGTTGTTGTGCAAACACTGAATAGACCAACATAGCAACAGTCAACGCGTTAAGAGCTTCTCATGTTCAATTCTTCAAGGAGAAGGGTCATCAACTCATCAACCACGAGGCAGAGGGCCGCCTCTCTCTCTCTCTCGCTGATACCTCCTCTTCGGGAAAAAAATCAGTTTTTGGAAGTTGTTTGCCATATCTTTGAGTAAGTAAATCAAACATACATCAGCAAAATGTTGTCTTTTGGCAGTGTGTGATCCCCACTGACATTGTTGGCAGTGGATTGTTATCACTGTTCTCCATTTAGTCCCTAGCAGTGAATTGTTATCACTGCTGAGAGACGTCCAAGCTGACAAAGGTGGCCTGGGAATTTTCCAGGTGGCTTTAACCCCCACACCAGGTAAAGAAAAGATCCCTTGCGTACAAACAGGTTGCAAAGAGAGTACGATTTTCTAATGACCCCATTGGCCATTGAAAGGGCCCACTGCAGAGATAACCTTCAAAGATGCATAATGTTTGCACAGTGCAATCATGTATCCAGTGGTTTCAGAGTAGATGGCGCAATCCCACAATCCCCAAGTTCCGTGGTGAATACGGACCCCTATAAAAAAGACATCTTGGGGTGGTCTAGTGCCATTTCTCACCTCTGATGGCCCACTGTAAAGCAAGGAACAACCCCGTCAAGACCCCTCAGCACCTGAACCAGCGCGCGCTTTCGGCGGCCGACCACGCGCTGGTTCCCCCACCACCCGCCGGAGACCTGCCGGTCTGGTGTGGCGGTCTCTCGACCGACCGGAGACCGGCGGGACGACGTGCGAGGCTGAAATGGCGCTGGGACGACCGGAGCGCCGTGGAACGGGACCAGGTGCGGGAAGAAAAAGGGATGAACAGTTATTGTTACTACTAGTAAGGCACTTGTTCCTAGTAGCGTGGCACCTGTTTCTACTAGCTTCTTGTTACTACTAGTAAGGCACTTGTTACTAGAAGCGATGCACTTGTTATAAAGGGAGGGCTTTTACTAAGGGGAAGAGGACGCGCGGAGACAGGGAAGTTTTGCCAAGCTTCGTGCCATAAGAAATCCAACAAACATCTTGCCTTTGAGACAGAGGTGACTTCAAGTGATGAGTTCTTGTATGCTGCACAGATACTCTGCTATATAGGATTTTAAGTGATCCAGGCCCTCTAGGCTTGTCCGAAAAAACAAACTACTGCCGCCTCAGAGCTCAGTACCCTCAGCGTCTCTCAGCGTTCAGTACATGTTGGGTTTTCCTTGTGCAATGCTTTCGAGTTGGATGGATGTAGTGATGTAGAGCCGTTGAACTGGATCTACATGTACTAGTAGTCAAGTCATGTTCTAAAATTAGTGCCATCGACCCGGAAACAGAAGTCAGCTTTTTCCTCTCAGTCCTCTAGAATCTTTGACTCATACCTCCCTCCCCAGACATCCATGCATTCATGGATTCTTTGATGCCTCTACTGTAGAGGCCTGGGAGGTTGAATATACCTAGATCTTCCAACTGTGCAACATTTATGCCTCCCATCATGCATGAAACCCAGCCAAAAGGCAGAAATTCTACCCAGTTGCAAGATCAACCCCACTCTCCAAGGGACGGACCCGGCCGGACCAGCTGGTCCAAGCAGCTCATTGGTGTGCTGGGACCGGGCAAAAGCCTGCCAAGACCGTCAGACGCACCGAGCGCATCGGGGGAATCCCCCAGTCATATTTCTGTATGATCCCTGAGCTAGCTGGATGGCGAGCTGACAGGCGTGTGGAATCTGGGGAAAAAGACATCCTCCAAAAGAGCCCAAAAGTAAACACAGGACGGTTTTTTCAACCCCTCCATATGATTTTTTTTTACAATCGAAATGGCGTGGTTTCATTGATCAATCAAGCATTAAAACATGCAGTCTCCTGCACAAAGCCTCCCAGCTGTTCGCCTTTCTTCAAGCGAAACGGCGCACGCCCGAGCGGCGCGGAGGTGTTGGCTTCCCCTCCCCAGGCAGTGGGCGAAAGCCCAGCGGAGCGGACTGGGTGACGAAGGCGGAGCAGGCTCAGCCGAGCGGGTTGGGCAAAGCTTAGTAGCAAGGACACTACTAATGGCTCCTGGCCTTACTACTAGGAGCAAGAAGCTACTGGTATCTCCCAATCAGGCCAGGGCGGCCCGGGGTGGTTAATATCACGGGTGCAGGTGGTGACCATCTGCAAGACATCCAGACATGCGACCCGAAACGTGGGCGTCCAGACATGTCACAAGTAGACCGGTCAACTGAAAGAACCGGTCAAAGAGCTTCTCACTACGTTCGAGATGGGTAGATGGCCATTGAGTTCACCGAATCATCCACCAATGCCGGCGCAGGGACATGGACATGGACATGGCCCACCGGGCCCACCGGGCACGACTTGAATGAATCAAACACCATCGTTGGGTTTTTTTGGACTGCAGCTCTTTTTGGACTGTTGAAGTGCCTTGCTTGACCAGGATGCAGTGCAGATGAAGTCAAAGCCACTTCCGGAGCTGTCCAAAATGTCTCTTGGCGAATGTCCTGCTTTCATGGAAGCGCGTATCATTTTTGGGAAGGACACAGTGACCAAAACAAGTGTTCTTTTCTTCGTTTTTCTGGGAGTGGGACTTTTTGATGTGAGGGTCTTTGCATGTTTCCCCTCTTTAGATGTCCTTCACCCAGAAAGGCCGATCACTCGTCACCCGTCGGCCGATATATCAAGACCCCACAAACAACCGTGGCCACTCGAACGAGACCCCCTCTGTTTTCAGATGTGGGTCACCGCCGCATTACATGGAAGGCCACCTGCAAGAAAGCTGCCGTACGTTGGTACGTCAAGAATAAGCTATAGTAGAGATTCTTCTAAGCAGTTGGACGACAAAGAACAGATGCCGAAATTGCAAAAGAACGCACCGGAACGCGTTCGAGGTCCCCTCTACAGTCTAAAGGGTTGTTGGAGGCTCGTTTGGTGACGGCAATTCTTAGCGTTTTGAGGACAAGGCCCCGAGAAAACTCCGCCGCCAAGGCCAAAAGCTGAAGATTTGGGATTTCTGAACGAACTGGATTGAACATCGGCTCCAGCTGCCGTTTTTTTTCGGTCATGGCGCTAAGAGACTCTTGAATGTGCATGAATTTGTGAAACAAATCTGGGAGCAAGTCGGCCGCTGGATGCTCCATTCGTGTACACGATTGGTCGTCTCAAAGCAGACTGTGCGCCAAAAAGGGCCGCCAACGACTGCTGTCTCCGCATGGTTTCAACGAAGGTGAAAGGGGGCGTTGGTCTCCTGTGGTGGATGGAAGAAGTGGTTTATCACCTGGGATCATGTGGAGTCTTCCAGCGAACACCGCCCCCTCTGAAGGAACACGCCACAACACGCGTCATCACGCGTCGTTTGCCACGTCCCAAAACTCTGAGGTAGATCCAGTTCCAATAGTTTTTTGACACATGGTTTTTTTTTGCGCACTGAACAGACTCAGCGCATTTTCAGCATCGCACCCCTGAGTTTGGGTCACAAGGGGCTCAGGGGTGCTTCTGGTGTCACACCCTGAGCCAGGATCGTGCTTGGAGGTCTGAGGTGGTCGCAGGGAGATGTCATGTAATCAAATTATAGATCGATATGTTACATGTCTATCCAGCTGGAGACCAGGTAGCAGCTAACCGACCAGAAAACCCAGAAGAACGGAGCAACTTGAAGTAACCATGAACTGAGAAGGCCGGACCCCCAAGAAGTCCAAAACAGGCCAAGTGGATCAATGAGTCGTGGGAGCTCGCAATAAGGATGTGAGGGGAGAGATTTTCACCAAGCTTTCTGATGGAGTTCCTTGACAGAAGGCAACCTACAAAGAACCATAAAGAAACCAGGTATGGGTTTCGTCCAGCTGGCAGAGTGATAGATCTCCTGCCGATCAAGTCGTCTACACCCGACACCCTCAGAGTTAACGTGTACATGCTGAAGCCTTCGCAGAAGGCAGAAGGGTGTCCGACCAAAACAACGACACCGATGCTGATTTGATATATTAAAAAAATATATAACAGCTTTTATGTGTTGGCTACCGCAGCACATGAGCGCTCACATGTGCAATGGAAGGTGGGTACTGAGAGCTAACGTATATCATTAATGCATATACCTATTTGCCCCGTTGGCTACAGGCACGATCTTCTGTCGTGCGCCGGCGCCGTCCTTCAGGTAAAGGTTCACAGACGTACTGAAAACCTTTGCCACTCTGGTCGTTCTATCCATCCATTCGCAAAACTTGGAGCATCCGCATCTGTCCAGTTTGCACCGCGCCTGACTGAGGTCCTTCCACCTCTCCGTAGCCGTGCGGACCTGGTTTGGAGGCCCGGCCCCTTCGGCCATGGAAGGTGCCGGTGGCCGATTCGGATCGAGGCCCCAGGATTCGGACAGCATCGTATTACGTATGGTTTTTATGTCATTGGCCCCATATGGTTTGCAGATGGTGTTCTTGGTGAATCAAGGAGCCTCGAAGCCAGATACGCCCTGGTCAAGTTGGTCAGGTGCGTTGCTGCTGGTGCACCACTTCTTGGGTGGGCCCAAGAACGTGACCATCTTGCTGGCGGATCACTGCGAGGCAGCAGATGTTTGATCGGTGGCACGGACGGAATTCTCGGTTGGTCCCGCGTCTCCAATGTGCAAAGTACGTCACATCGCTACACGAACTCCGATCCGTGGTAACGATCCATGCCCAACAGCATAATATTCAGGAAAATCATGGAACATCATATTCCACACGTTTACTTTGGTGGATTCGTTGGTTTCTTGTTCCGGCAATGTGTTTGTTGTTGTTCTGATGTTATTTTGATTATTATATGTGTTTGTTTGTTTGTTTGTTTGTTTGTTGTTTTCTACCTGTGTGTTTCTTTGTTTGTGTCACTTTCTTGGTGTTTTGCTTCGGTGTTTTCAGTTGTTTTTTCCCGCTTGTTTGCTTTCCTGCCTGTTTGTGTTTTTCTGCAAGGCAAAAAAGGAGGAACAAATCAAAGAAGGAAACAAAGAAACAAACGACAAAACAAGCAAGGAGCAACGGTACCAAAAGGCAAGAAACAAGGCAGCGAACAGGAAGAACAAGGGAACAAAACAACATGCAAAGGATTGCAAAGGAAACAACATAGGACGCAAGAAGGGGCCTAAACTCAGGCGAGGCGCGGCCCTGCACCCCCGCAACCCCGCCACCGACACAAAATCTCAGCAATGTATATCCCCGAAACTTTTAGGAAGAAGGTGTGGACGCCCGTGGTTTCCTTAGGTGATTTGTCAGTTCACAGCGGTCAAAGCTTGTCGGGCCTTTCACGTTGATCGCTAAGGTCTACCACTTCTGCAACAGAAGCATGGGGCCACGTCTACTCTGGTACTCACTTCTTTGGCCGTGCCTCCCAAGCGCAAACGCACTTCCACTGGTCAAAGGCCTTGCGCATCGGGTATTTGTTCCTGCGCGCCTCGATACGCAGCTGCAGAGAGGAGGTGCCCTCGACTTGGAGAAGGAGACCAGTGGTGGGTCGACTCGGCCTTGTATTGCTGCTTCAAGTGCCGTGGAGGAGCCAGCGGGAGAACTCTCCTTTGAGGAAGCCCTGCACGTCGGCCTCCGGCATGCCGTTGAAGAAATGCCCGAGGCATAAAACAAGCTGATTCCGTGGTTGGGCCGGTGGCGGGAAACGGCTCTAAAGAAAAACCAATCCAACTCGGAAACTGACGTTCTCTAGAGTGCCTTTTCGAGGTCCCTCGCACGTCCGCTTGCGTTGTGTTGCTTTCAAACCATGCACGGTTACATGCATGCCGAGAGCGCTTTTGAGCATCTCAAGCTTTTCGTGCCTGCCTCGCTTGCTTGTCGATCTCCACGCCATGTCCGGCTTCGACGTCGCCTGGGCTCAGCAAGTGCGCGCAACGGACGAGGACAGACGGCTTACTTTTGAAACTTCAGTAGAAGGGTTGCAACGTGTATGCAACATGTTGAAGCAACTAACATTCTATCGTAATTAAAGCACCTAGTACGTCGAGTGAGTAGAAGCTTGAATTATATATTAATTCCATCTGTTTTTCAAACACAAAAAACAACTAGATACCAATATCATATGTATATTTCAACATAAATGAAAATAGATACATTATTACATATTCCACTAAAACATATATATATTATTGTTTTCAACAGAGTTTGAATTGAAACTAGTTTAGATAAAAAGAATGTAAAACTAACAATGAACTTGTCAAAAAATAACTCCATCCACATTATTATAATACGAAAATGAAACAGAATGCACATATATATATATATATTTGTTTCATATAGATGCCTTTCTTGAATATTTACATTGCAATATATATATATAAGTTTTTTGGTTTCAATCATTTACTTATGATGGTTATGTGTGTCTGTGTGTATGTATATATATGTATGTATGTATGTGCGTATGTATGTATGTTTGTTTGTATGTCTGTCTGTCTGTATGTATGTTTGTATGTATGTATGTATGTGAGTATGTGTGTATGTATGTATGTATGTATGTATGTGTGTATGTATGTATGTATGTAAGTATGTATGTATGTACGAATTTATGTATGTAATGTAAGGTAATGCAATGTAATGTAATGCAATGTAGGTATGTATGCATGTATGTATGTATGAATGTATGTACTATTCTTGTGTATACCAGCTGCCTGACAACGTTACATGCGTGAATTGTTGCTTCTGGCAGGAGCGAAACCGCTTGGCCCACGCGATCCACGGCAACGCAGCCATGCAGGAGCCTGAGGAATTGATTGTAGAAAACAAAAGCGCAAATTGCTTTGCCACAGCAAGCTTTTCACGCGTCTTTGACTGACGGGGGTCAGCGGGTTCCTGAGCTGCAGGGCCCGGTGTTGTTGCGCTCGTTGTTTCAATTTGCATAGCAGCTTTCCTGAGGAGCGCAATGTCGTGGCCCACAGGGCCAACGGCATTCACTATCGTCGCCGCGAACTTGTCAGAATCGTCAATATTATTGACGATTCTGACAAGTTCGCGGCGACGATTGACTTGTGTTCGAGTGCGAGCCCAGACCCAAAACTCCACACATAGGTTTCAAGCACGAAGCAACCATCCTCTTCAGGGACGACTTCTTCACCGAGTTCTGTCGACCCCTGAGTATGAGGCGCCGGCTGCCCGAGGAAATTTGCTCGCTGCCGCAGCAAATTTTTCACGGCCCTCCTCACAGTTGACCTCGGCATCTATGGGGAGGAGGACAGCCTGCGCAAGGTTTGCGAGGCAGGGAGGTCTCAAGAAACTGCGCGCGTAAGCTTTTGTCGGATTGTTTTTACGCCATGGGCTTCAGTTATTTGCGTGGGTGCAAAGCCATTTGCATTGGCAGTTCGGCGGCCCCGGCAGCCGAGCAGGAACGCGCCCTGCGGAAGCTCAACATCTTCGTCTTCGATCCGCGCGCTGCCAACTTATTTGTTGTGCGTAGGCATTGCCTGTAGCTTGGCGTTTCATTTTTTGCCCACGACATTGAGAAAGCCCCGTCTTTCATCTTTGGCAGGTAGAACTGTTCCGCGAGCTTATATCCTCACGCTGTCATGTGTATTGAACACCGTTCAGCAGGCGGGTCTGCGCATTCGGTCGACCGTGTGACCCCCGCGAGGTGAAAGACGGATTGAACCTTTCGAGGGCTCAGCGCTATGGAGGCTCGATCGCTGGGAATGACGACCGAGTAGGGGATCCACTGATGGGAAGTGGGGTGGTCTTCAGCGAAGATCAAGACCTTGCTTGGACCCACCAATGTGGGATGTGTGAAAACAATCTGGGAGCCCTGGTCAATCCATGCAAGTGGCTTGACCTTTCAGGCGGGTCAACCAAGGAATCCTAGCTTTGACCCTCCAACCAAATGTGTTTATATAAGTTGTTTGTCCTTTTAGAGGGTCTTTTTGGAATTCGGTGACTCCAAGAATCAGTCAAACGGAGACCAGGAACCTCCATGGGACACCGGTCTCCGAGTGCAGTGTAGGTCGGAGGCGGTGGTTCGTTCCCCCCTTGATGAACCATGAAAGCACAGATTACAGACGATACAAGCGCCAGCCTGCTACTTGAGGTTGTGATATGTTGTGTTGTTGATTGTTTAAACAAATATTTATATATGATGATTTACATGTACTGCTGCCGCTTTGATGTGGTTTATGGGTTGGTACTTATTTATGTACTATTCAAATCTAATCAACATGTGTTTTCCCTCGCTCAGATATCCCTTGAAATTGTTTTGCTCCACTTTCCGAACAGCGGCAGCAGACAAAGACAGCAGACTTATGGCCGCGTTTTGTACAAGACATGGCAGCCAACATACTTTCTTGGACTCTTGGGACTACTACCAACAGTGTTTTCGTGTTGACCCATCCGGCCATGGGGTCAAACTGCAGTTGTGAAAATCCAGCCGCAATTCCGGGGGGCCACAAGACCGGCGGAGGAACATGAGGTCATGAGGAAAAATATTGTTAAACGAAAGTAGAGACTACTATGAAACTGTACCATCATTGAATTTGCCAGTTGCATATATCATATATAATCATGTCATATATCCATTTGGGTATATCAGCAACTTGGCATCTAATGTCACCTTTTATTGGTCTCTCCGCGATTGCCTTCCAGCTTACAAACTGGAACACAACCAACGTTTGACGTCTCAACCCTTATCAATACTGAGTCAGCTGTTTGCTCGCTAGCAAAACCATCAGAGGAAAACCTTTGAGACCTTTCCCCGATTTCCAGTAGATAGCTGGGCAATCATGCAACTGATTCTGCCTTTCATGGGTAGCTCAATTGGCGCTCCAGCCTTCACTACACGGAGGCATCGCGCACCCAGCAGCCAGGCAATCATGGCGGCTTTGGCGTACGGCAGCGTTTGGGCAAGCTGGGACCGTTGGGGAAACCCAGGGGCATGCCGCGGCGTGCAATGTCCTGGCAACTCCTCCAGCCAGCTCCCCACATTTTAGTACGACACGCCCCCCAACCAAAGGCCCCACTGGAGAGACGAAATAAAACGGACACTTATGCGGAAGAATTCGGTAGTGGTCAACTTCTGCAACATGTCATCCAAAAGAAAAAACTATTCGTTTAGACATTGGCTAGAAGACAACATTCCTTTCACCAAAGAGATGTTCCATCAAGTTCCATTTCCTTGAGGGCAAAGCCAGTTATTATGTCTCCCTCCTCAAACTGGTTCCCTTGAATGTTCATCTAAAACCATCCGCTCGCCGAGAGAGTAGCCTGTCTTGTTCCTCATGATTTGGATGGACGGGACTGATTTTGTCTTGGTCACAGCAAGTCAGAGGTCTATTGTGCCATCCTTGAAAGGAAATGAAAGGAAGGGAGCATCGGTGAAGAACAGTTGGTGCGGATGATGTATGTATCATCGTTTGTCTTCGCGGTAGCAGAAGGAGCAGAGATCATGGTTTCCGGGATGATGTGTTTGTTCCTGCGTAACTAGGTAAGTTGCAACTTGGTGCGGTGTGATTGTTTCTGACGAAATCCATGGTGGCCTCAGTGCGTACTGATCATATTCTTGGAGTGCACTACAGGGATCCTTGACCAGGGCCGGGGGGCTACGTCAATGTGTATTGGAGTAGGGCCTAGGGAGACCCACAAATTAATGAGTTCTGGCTGTAAAGACATAAGTTAAGTTTGATGAAGTTTGTTAGTTGGAAATGCCGGGGTCAAGCTGGAGGCCTCCCTATTCTAGTGCACACCAACGTTTCGTGGCGGCTGAGCAGCCAACGCCTCTGGCCAGGCTTTTCTCTGGCTTGCGGGGAGCTTGGGAGAGGCAACATTATGTAGGGAAAGCAGGACGAGCAAGCAAAATCTCAAGGACAAAGATACAGTATGTGCATTTTGCGGTACTCGTGATATAAGTATGAAGAAGAGATGTAAAGCCCTGCTAGTAAAGGGTGTTTACTCATCGAGTTACCAGCCGCATCCAACGGATGCTATTGGTTGCCCTCAGCATTTTGGATTTGACGGGTATTACTTGTCAGCCCCTTCATCTCGTTCAGCAGTTGCTTCTGTTGTCAAGAAAGGCATGAGGATTTGGTCAACGCCAATGGGGTGTTCCATTGCATGGGGCAGAAGAAGATCTCAAACAGATAATCTCTCTGAAACAGAGAGCCAGGACCAGTAGCTGAATGTCAAGATGTTCAAGAATCCATACCGCACAGCACCACCCACTGACGAGGTCAAGCGTACCTCCGATCTGGCTGTCGGGAGGTGTGAGTGCGGAAGGGAAGGATTCCTGCGTCCCTACTCAGTGAGGAAACCGTTTTGGGGCGAGCCTACTTTTCATGCGTCGGCGTTTCAACAAACTTGTAAGGCCCTCAGCACAATGAACACACTTGTTACATGGAATGCTTGAAGACTTCTTTGATCTATTCTTTGCACGCACTGGGGGGCACAACCTTCCATCCAATGCGCACAGCTAACTCGACTCATACATATCCACTCTTCGATACATGGAGTGTAAGCTTGTGCCCCGTTTCTTCCATCCAATGCCCTTTCGGACCTTCGCGCCGATTCACGCCAGGGGAGCGCGTTCGCGGCGTGGAACTGAGCTTCAGCTCGACGGTGGCTGGGACCGCGAAGGGCAGGACGCATTAGGAGATCGGGTGCAGGGAGTGATGGGTTGAAGATGATTTAGATATAGCAAAGAGGTTTTGAAATTTTGGATTTGTCATTCGCTATAACTTACAACTACTGTATATCATTCTGACTATGGATGGAATGCCCAATCCAAGAATTGCAGAGTGGTCATATATGTTCGGGAATATTCCATAGTTGTTCTTACTTGCGGACAACTCTGGTTGTACACCGTCGAGCCAGCAAGCACAAGCAAACTGGACTGCATGTTGATAGTTTTGTTGGTTTGGTGAAGACAACTTAGACGACTATCGACGACTATCAGAATGGCCATTGGCCCCATGTTTCTCCCATCGAAGGTCTCTTGCCTTGTATATACGATACAAGGCGGTCTTTCCTTTTTTGTTTGGTCGACACGCAAGGCATCTACTTTTTAGTAGTAGTTACAATTGTCCGATGTGATTGTTGCTTGTGATTGTTGATCCACATCCAATTCTTTGTCTCGCGATCGTGCTTTTTGACCGGAAATGCGTGCAGGGCCTAGTAGGTCTTAGTCCTAGCTGCGTTTGGACGTGTCTCTGACCTTAAAACATGAACAGACTACCAGAATCTACCAGACATGGTCAACCTTCCGCAGTGTGGTGGGGGAGGTTTTGACATGTGGCTGTGGCCTTTGCACTGACTGGACTGAGTTGTATAGGGAGGTTTTGACATGTCGGCTGTGCGTCATTTAACACCAGAATACCTTGGTTGACCATGCTTGTTCGCTGCATGGTGGACTGGTCGGGCTCCGGGTTGAACGACCCATCGACCCAAATGGATGCGGAGTCAAAACCTGAAGCTCCAAACCCTGGTAAGTTGACCTCCCTGGTAATCGATTCTGTTCAATTTTAAGTGGTCAACCGGTGACCGTCCCGGGTTTTGACCCACGTTTGAACATGGTCACGTCGTTGGGATTCACCACGAAACCATGGCTCCCAATCGCTCCACCCCCGTCTCGTCCGGTCGAAGGGGTGACCTCTGCGACGCCTCCGCGCGATCAATCGGCGAAGCCGAGCCGAGGTTTGGGGCTTTCCGCCAGTGGGCACGGCCCATGGCCGCCGGTCTGAGGACAGAGTGTGTTCTGCAAATCGTTTGAACGGGGTGCTTGGGTGCCCCAAGCAGGATGTGGCGTAACTCATGTGGCTAAGCACTGCAGTTGTGGAATGCTTAGATTGGAAAAGGATGGAAAAGGTCTTGGGCACAAACAGCAGATGTTAACACTTCATTGCCTGTAAAACGACCTCAATGAACTGGTCCAAAATGATCCAAAACGGGGGTCCCCATATTCCAATAATTCTGGTTGGGAGCAGAGGCACAAGTCAAGTGTGTGTGTGTGTGCGTGTGACTCAACTCCTTTTCCACAGAGCCCCAGACCACTTCTGAATGTTTGTTTTTAAGCTCGGATTTCAATTTAGGTAACCTTTACTCTACTCTTCAAGCAGGGGGCCAGCGCATGGCATCACGACGCTGGCCAACCAAGCTAGTGATGTCATGAGAAGCAGTCAGATACGTCTGACTGTGTACCTGCTGAGTTCTCGTGGTTTTAACAATACTGTTTTTGACCCGTTCGCCTTTCCGTTTGCTCAGGGCCGTCTCTTGCAAGTGGATTTGATAGGTTTGTAAAGTGCTAATGCTGCTAATCTATTCCTCGATTCAGTTTCTGAACTTGTGCTCACTTGAGCTCTATTCTAAGTGTGTATTCGTGGGCCTGGTAGAGATGCAGACACCCGCAAAGAGACCTGCGAAGAGAAATGAAGAGAACACCTTGCGGGAAATGAGCCACACATCAAACTGTTCTACAAGTTGCCAAACAGCCGCATGAGCCACTCTTCAAAAAGACATTTTTTCATACTACTCAAACTGATTCTAACTCTGAAACCGGATGAAGCCCCGGCAACTGTTCTGTTTTTCTTGGAGCACTCTTGGAGCGACAAGCGCTTGCCAGTACGACTGCAGTGGCCGCTTTTGCTTTGGCCTCCGACGTCTCTCGGTGAGCCTCGGACGAGTTGATGGGGTGTGGCAGATGCGGAGCTCAGTCGGCCAGACCATCCATGCGACTGGAAGAGGTACTGACATGGATGGCTCAAACATGGGGTATATATTAACGGTAAATTATATTTTAGCCTCAGGGATGGTCTGGGTTCGGTTGTTTCTTTTCTCCCACGTGGGAGCATGTCGCGAACCGAGGTCCTGCACAACCCCTTTGGACAAAACGACACATACGTTTTCACACAGGAACATGTCATGCATGCATGTAAGTAAAACTTTAGTGCTACTGAGCTCTTTCGACCACCAGTGGATTTTCGATGAACCAAAGCACCTTGACCCGTGTGATGGGATACAAAATATATGGACACGGTTCGGATTAAAGCATGTGGTCATAAGAAAAGCGTAATTCGATCACCGGGGTAAGGGCTTAGAGGTTCTTGCATCAATTGCATCGCTTGATGTATACCTGCGCCCAGGTGATTGTTCAGGATGGTATTCTTGTTCGTTTGAGTTTGGAGAAGGCTACTTCTAGGTGGTTCATCACTTTGTTTTAAGCCTTTTGATGCCTTCTGAGGTTTGTGGGAAAAGGTCAGTTCGAGCTTTGCCATGTACGTCGTTGCTGTAATTGTTAGGTTATGGGCGACAGGAAGAGTTGTCCATGAATGACCGGCTAAGGTAGGCATAAACAGCAGGGCTCCTTAAAAAGATGTTTGGACATCCGTAAGACGGATCTATCAATCACCCGGAGAAATTTCACGCATCAAGACCGGACGGCGATCGAGTCGCACGAGGCCTGGCTGATCTGCTCGCCAGGCCTCCAACAACCCGGTGATCACGTTACGTTCGCCCCTGGACCAATGGCTGACACCGCCCAGGCACCAGCGAAATGGCCGTCGAGCGTTCGGTGAATGGCTATGCTGTCGGTCGACGGTTGAAAGACCGTGGTCGTCAAACAGCGTCTTCCACATTCTTCCACAACACCTGTCAAAACCAGCAACACATTCCCAGACACGACTACTGGGACTGGGTGTATTGATCTACATTGGGGTGGTTGAAGTCGGGGTCAATGAGATGGGCATAGTGATGGGCATATATGACAGACATGGAGTTTTTGGGATTGTGTGCGTGCATGACCAAAGAAGGACCTGCTAAAGACGGACGGACCGGTGCCCTTCGGCGGAGGGGGGGGGCGGCAGGATGGGGCTCCGGAAGAGGTGACTGAAAGATCCAACAGACCATCCATGTATGGAAGAGTCACACCTTTACTCCTTTTACCCGATTTAAACCCAAAATGAAGGCCAATGTGGTCACCTTCATCTCACAAAAAGAACCACTGTTGTTTCTCGAGGGACCCAGAGGGATGCCTCAAACACAGCCTTCTCATGGCTTATTATACTTGAGGTATCTTGAGGTCGTCGTTGTGTCCTGACTGGACTACCCAGCTCACTACTAGACTAGGCTTCCAGACAGGCGATCTCAAACGGATCGTTGTAACACAGAATGACAATTATACCTACTGTTGGCCAAGTAAGTCCAAGCTCTTGACCAAATCTCATGCCATCCTCCAACAAGTCACGACCTGCATAGAATTGCATAGATCCGTGGAGCCGTGTGGCTGCTGGAGGAGTGCTGTTGCCTCATCGAACCGCGCTCGCCAGGGCCACCTCTGACGCCGATGGGCCATTGAAGCTTTTCCTGGTGCAACGTGCCTCTGACGCCGATGGAGGGCGATGGAGGGCGATGGATGCTGGAGGGTCTTGGAGAACGCATGGAGATCCTTTAAGGAACCCCCAAAGAATCACACAAACAGTCAATTTTTCTCTAGAAGGTGTGTTCTTCATCTTGTTTTAAGATGTTTTAAGGGGATAAGCGGAACCTTTTGTAGTAGGGGGAAGTTCTAAATGAGTGAAAACGCACTGCTGGCGAACCTTCCCGGAAAGCTCTTTCACCAGCTCCACCAGGGCTTGCAAAGCCTTGATCAGCGTGGATCAGATCGCTTGCACAGGGACTGCGGGGGGGGTCAGACGGAGGACGCCCAAGGGTGCCTCAGGTTTGTATCATCCACTGGCACCTTCCACCACCCAGTGCCAATACCAGTCCATTATATAATCGATTCATTTCACTTTCACCAATAACTGACTGCCGGTGACTCAATTGTTTGTGCGCATCAAAAAGACGGTCAGCAAAACAGACAAAGACAAGACTGCAAAAACACAGAATCCCCAAATGTGCCCCTGAATCCCCAAATCATGATGATCCTTAAACATCATTTGAACCTTCTTTTTTTTTGGGGCACCACAAGACTCTTTTTGTACCACCCTCCCCACCGGAGCCTTCCACCGCCGGTCTACGACGGCCCACGAGGTTCGCGTGACCTGTCCCGACGTCTGGTGGCACCGGAACGTTTGGCCAGGGGGTCTCAGTGGCCTCGCCCCGCGGTCGCGATGGAGCGATGTCTCCGCGATGGAGCGATGGACGGCAAGGGCCGAAGCCCATCCTGGGGGTTCGGTCCTTCCCCCATGGTCCATGGTGGTTGGTGTATTCCAGAGACGACCACTGGCCTGAAGTGGAGTGGTTTCAGACTCAGATGCGCAAAACGCTGACATGCAGAGGGGTGTGAGGGTCGGTCAAACAGTGGCCTTTCAGATCCTTTCAGGGGTTTCGGTTTAGCCCAGAGCGATGTCACCATGTGACGCGTGTCATTTGCGGCGCCGCGAGGTGTTGGAGGGTCATTAACTTTCCGTTCTTGGGCCCCATGCAATATGGCTTCCATAGAAGCTTGGTCGGTAGTTGAACTCTCTCATGCACCGCACCAACTGTTTTTTGAATGTCAAGTTCAATGACGACTGGTTTACAAGTCTTAGAGGTGCTTTCTTGAAAGCACGCACGGCATTTGGCTACACGAGGAAGTATTGTATACTTCCCAGACAATCCTTAGCAAACCATAACAGGGATTTGTGAGCCTCAAGAAGAAACCTCAGTACTGTGGTTGAAACATGCAAACAAGCGCGATATACAAACCTGAAGGTGTTCTTTTTCTTATTTCATGTTTTGTTGTCGTTTAGAACAGGACGAGACCAAGCACCTGGACACCCGGACACACTCAGAGGTGAAGCTCTGGTCGAGCCCGCGGCGTGGGCGCCCGCCCGGGGTCCGGAGCGGCCGCAGGACAAGGAACGCCAAACAACAACCGGAAGCCTTTGGTTTTCTCCGTACTCAAATGAAGGACATACTTCAAGATCGACGCACGCAGATTGAATGTCAAACATTCAAAGCACAAACTACTGAACGATTGTGGTTTCCGGCAAAATCCTAGTCGTCATAGTCCCTTCAGCCCTAGCTATTTAAACTCCTTCCATGTTCCGGTTCCTTTCCGCACCCTTTCAAACTTGTTCATTGCCCTTTCAACTTAAAACCCTTTCTGTCCTTTTCATGTTTCTCTAAACACCTTTCATCCTCCCTTCACAATTGGCCTGCAAAATCATGCAACATCGTTCCATGAATGCTCCGTCCATCGTTCTTGTAATATCATCGATTTATCAAAGACAAACACATCTCGCTATCCTGAAAAACATTCTGAAGAGTCCAAGCAGATGTTTCCAAACAGATGCAACTCTTGCTGCATTTTGCCGAGTTCTTCGACCGACACCCGTTGATCCTTCGTTTGTTGCCGGCGCGACCTCTCCGTGCCTCGCTCCGTGCGGGCCGTGCCTCCGGCACGCGGCCGTGCGAGGGGACACCCCGAAGTCAACGAACGAAGGATGGAGTGTCAACTTGAAGCTATTTGTTACTAGTAAGGGCCTCCAACCTAATAGCGATGGCCTCCAAGGGGCCTCCAACCTACTGGCTTGCTACTAGGAACTACCAAGTCTCAGTCGTGTGAGTTATCAAGACCTCCCCATGTCCATGGATCGTAACCACGCTGAAATATGCGGGGTTGAAATAATGATGGAGAGGGTGCATGATGCACTCCATACAAGGAACTGACTGCCTTACAAATACATACAAGGCAGGAAAAAAACATACACATTGATGCAAGGCTGTTCTTGCATCCCATCCTTTTGAAATGGGTCAGTATGCCTAGATGCCATCCCGCTGCTTGCCATTCATTCCTAGATGCGCCGTCAATCCGACCGGGTCACAAAATCAAGATCCACAAGGCAAATCCTGAGCATGCCGCCTAACCATCCATGTAGTGACACGAGATGCTTGTGGACTTCATGCTAGAGCAGGAGAACCGTCCACCTGCTGAAGCGTTTAGCAACTCCTGTGATTTCCGTTTTTTTAAGCGGAGGTGCTTGAACTGCCCTTTCCGCAGCCAATCAGTATAGCCAACCTGGATGCCAGATCAGGTTAATTCATGTTAATTAATTTTGCAGTATATATGGAGTAAGGCGTTGTCGGGCGCATTCATGGTGGGTTTAGCCCGGCAGGCAAGCCTCACCCATGTCAATTTGCCTCACCATAGGCCAGGGTCGCTCCGTTCGGTTCACGTCGCGTGTGTTCGAACGACGCCTCCCAGGTTCGGACGTGTTCGGAGCGTCCTTTGGCGCCCCGAGACGCAAAGCATTCTGGCGCAGGAGCCGGGTCTGGTGGAGTGAAAGACGCATCATGTGACCATGGTCCGGGCCACCAATAAACACATATTAAACACATGGTTGGCTACTTTTTTTCAATCATGAAGGCCTACAAGGCTTTTGGGTTGAAGAATGGGGGACACGTCCCGAGAAACTCTGGATTTGGCCATCATGCCTTCAAGATACACGGATCTAAAGACTGGTTTGTTCATTTGTGGCAACAGGACGATCAGAGGTTGGTGAGATTAAAAAGGGAAGAAACAGAGAACATAATAATGTTATGCACCAAAATGGAGTCCTCTTGATTAATTAACTTCCCCCCAAACCTCTTCCTTGTAGAACCTCTTCATATGGGGCGGGTGAAAATATGTGGTGAAATATCAGGAGTCTACATGAGGGAAGGAAGAGTCCAGACTGGGAGAAAGAGTCCGAACGGGGAGACTTACAGAATACTCACAGAGGACGTCCTTTTGTGAGTGGATGTCAGGACCTCTCTCCACAAAAGGACGTGAACTCGGGATCCCTCAGGGTGTGTCCTTCTTAGGGTGGTTTCGTTTGAGTCCAGGTGTGTCAGGCCATGGAGGTCAGGCCTTTTTTTTGCCCGCTTTCTGGCCACAAGATCTGTTGCTGGACCATCTGGACCCCCTCCGGCCTTTTGAAATGTCATGAAACACCTGGGTCACCAAGGACTATGATGATAGATGATCGTCTGATCGCAGACCATCCATACATGGTTGTAATACATTTACCACATGTATGCCCCCTCCATGTAGGTAACTATTCCATATGTACATGGATGGGGGATAGCCACACTCCATTTTACTGGTAGTGTCTACTTCAGTAGATGAATGATGTGTCCATCGGCGAGGCACGAACACTGGCCCATGCCGATATGCTGGTGGCGGTCACCGGACAGGCATGCGACCAGCATGCGACCGGGTTGCGGGGGTACCGTGGACCGGTTTTGCTCAACACCTGTGGACAGGTGGGAAGAACCAAAGGTAAGCATATAAATTGGCAAGGAAACATTCGATAGTCTTTTTCACTTGAAACCCTCCAGTCCCCCACCAGAGGGCTGTCAGGGATGGTTTCAAAGTCGGTGTGGCAAGAGGAACTTTTTGAGCAAGGTGAGAAGCACCTGGCACCACGCTTGTTCAGGGGTTCTTTCGTGCTACGGGTGCAGTGACGGTTTTGGGGCAAACTAGAACACCCTCGCGATGCCCCTCGGAAACGTGTCCAAGTCGGATCCCGATGAGCGTCAAAACATTCGCTCCTGGCACCGGATCCCCCCAAAAAAACCTCGGCGCCACGAGACACGAGGAGTTCTCCCGTGCTCTCCCCGTGGGCAGTTTTCACGCCACTTGAGGCCTGCGGCTTGGGTGTCTTCCTGCGCCGGAAACGCATCTTATTGGAGGTGCCTCGGATACCCTGGGAACCTGACAAGGTCGGCGGGTTTCCGGAGTGCCGAGTTCAGAAGAGCCGGGGATCCTCATTAGGGCCAGTCACGATTGCTGGAGTTACTCTTGTAAGTTGGCTGGGCTGGGGGATGCAATCGGCTACCCAGTGAAGCATCCGCTGCTAGACCCCCAAAAATATATAAAAATATTGGGCTCAACTCCCCCCTCGGACATGTCGGTTGTTGGAGTTTAAAAGTCATTATATCGATATTCTCCCAAGCTGATAGCATCAGTTTTGGGAACCCTATATAATGCTTTACACCCACAGCTCTCAAGACATTCCCCTCCCCATGGCTTTCGTCACCAACCCCCTCAAGTACTCGCTAGCAGTTGAGCAGGTTCTAGGGTTTTCTAGATTTGTCACCAGACTATACTCTAAGGGCATGCGCAAGACTCTTACTTACCAAAAAGACCTTTTTAGGGGAGCAAGGGAGCCCTGGCGACCCTACCCGTGCCGACCCGCTTGCGATGCGACTCGGTGTGCGAAACGCAGTTCTCGCCGGCCCTGGCGGGGTCCTATGGCTGCCGTTGGGGATGGGTGGCGAGCCTCAGGGACTTGGAGACCGTGAGACGGAGGACGCACTGACCCCGCTCAGCGACTTTGAAGTATAATAGCCTATTGTCAAGACTGACGCAGCATGTAGAGGCTGCATTGGCTAATAGTTTTCATATTACAGTATTTCATTTGGCAGGTGGGGCAAATGTTTGCAATTAGTTTCAACCCCTCCCCCCTATCCCACAGATAAAGAGGCCAACCCACTCTCTAAATAATAGGGGTAGTTTTGAAGGCACCAAAGCAATTTGGTGTTTTTAGGCAAAATGACTAGCATTCACAAAATCAGCATGAAGATTATATTTATGTGTATATTGAAATATATATACTGTATATATATGTATGTATGTATATACCTAGAAGATCCTTTCGGCAGAAATTCTTTGGGGGAAGAGCGGCGGAAATCAACTTTTGCCGCGGAAATGTTTTCGTTGCCGCGAATTGTTCCTGTCAGGAATCTAGTCAGACAAAGACTATATATTCTAGAGGAGTTGAGTATGTTTGTGGTTTGCAGTGGGCATGTCTCACTGGAACGGTCACTCCATTAAGAAAACGACACTTAAGTTTCCACCTCCACCTCGAAACCTGGCTACCATCATATCATGTATGCGTCTTTGTTTTTGAAGGTTTCTTGTGCGGAATGAGCACATACGGAGTAAAGCCAGTCCAAAGTTGAAAACACCTGGCGCGAAAATGCCCGTGAAAAAGGCGGAAGTACCCGGGAAAACGGCGGAAATACCTGGGAAAACGGCCGGACATACCCGGGAAACCGGCGGGAAATTTCCTGGCAGAAGGCGGGGTTCACACAACAGTGCCTTTGAAGGGCTTGAACAAATGTTGCAACCTCTTTGTGAATGTCATGAAAAAAAACCATAGGGTGTGGGATCTTGAGATGTGAAACTGTGTCTGTGAAGAACGATATGTGGTATGCAATCATGGAAGAGACAACCTGGTCGGTGTTAGGCAGTGGTGATGGTTTTTGGAAAGGCTATGTTGAAATTTGCTTGTGGCAAAAACTCCCTGCTGGCCGCGGAAATTCCTACCTGGCGCAGATTTCCCAGAATCCGCGAATCCTGCCGGGCAAATCGGACTGAGGCGGAAGTTTTTGCCCCAGGTGCTTCTAGGTATACACGCTAGGCTTTGAAGATGTCCAGCACACAAAACGAAACAGCATTGGATCCATCAAATGCTGTGAAAAGATCCACAGCAAGCCGACAAGTAAATTAGAAGCCTGTCCTCCTAAACAACGGTGCGCGCCTCGCTGAACAGAACCAGAACATGTTGAGGGAAGTTGACCGAAGCGCTCCCGTTTTGACTGTAGCCTCAGAGGCTATAGCGGGACCACCGGCCTTTTTTTCTCTATCAGTGGATCTGTCAAGATCAAGATCGGCCAATGAAAGCACAAGTACAACTCGGAGCACATGGAAGCAGTAGTGACCTTAGACTGCAGAAGAACAAGAAGAATACATTTCATTTGCACAAATGCCCTGTGAAGGTAAGGATATTCCTGATCATATCAAAAACATGTTGAACACATGTGGAACACTTATAATACAAACCGTGTATGGAAAACCTTGGCCGCCGCTTCAGAGGCAGAAGGTGCAAATACTTTTGAAAGCCTCAGATTATTGTTTCCGGGAGGTGCAGCCGAGACTGCCGGCAGAGATAAAGGCGCTCCTGCCCAGTATGGCAAGTAACAGGACTGGATTCTTCATTTCTCAATCTTGCTCCCATCCAGATCTAGGGGCCGCGCTGATGCTGAGGCTTTGCTGGTTTCATCCAGATTGAAGAGCTAGGGTGTTTACTTAGCTGTCGGAACAAAACTTGAGCAGCCATGGGTGTATTTATGTTGCTTTTCTCTTCTTCTCCGGGGAGGGAGAGTGAGAGAGCGAGGGAAAGGGCGGGCGGGTTCATGTGTATTTTGTGCAAAATATATATATTTTTCTTTGAAAACCTGTTGGTGAGCACATTTATCAACCCCTTATCTTGATTACTATGTCTTCTATTTGTCCCGGAACCCTGCTAGGGGAGGAATATGCAGCCTTCTATTTGAAGAATTCGATATCTTCTATAATAGTTTCCCGTGCTATACCCGCAGAAAGCGCGACCAACGAAACCAACGCAACCATTTAACAATGAACTTTGAAAAAATTGCTGGCAAGGAGCCACATATAAATTGTCTTTGATATGTTTTTGTGTGTCCTCCTCTCTCTCCCCAAGCAGTTCCCCGTAGATCTTGGGACATTGTTAGTGCTTTCGGAGTTCGTGTTTCGAATATGGCATTGCCAATGCCCAGAACAGAGGAAAGGCGTAGGCCAATCCAATCCTGTACAGAATTTCATGCTTTGGATTTTCGTCGTGGTCCTCCTAACTAGCCCTGCACACATGTGACCATGGCGACTAAATCAAAAGATGCCAAGCAATTGAAGGTTGGCGCCAAAAAAGTTAAAGGTTGAACACATTTTATTTGCAGTTGACTACGCGCAGGGGAGTTGGTCCTTAGAACCAAGTCCTGTGCGGCTTGTAAAGGTCATGAACATCGTATGTAGTAGGGGCCAAGCTAGTTAGCTAGTTAAGGGTTCAGCAATGCAACGCGGAAACTGGTCCAAAGGAACCAAGCACTACGCTTGCTTTGGTCATGAACATTGCTCACCATATAAGTAGCAATGACTGGGTTCACCCAATCCCTGAACACCCATTAGTTCTAGACCCCCATTGGCACGAAATTTCCTTACAGAAAGAGTTGCCAGTCCTCTGAGGTTAGGAGGGCGTACCAAAATACAAATCTTGTACAAGTATAAAAAGTTGGCCCCTGGTCTGCCAAAACAATTGCACCAAGACCAGGACTTTGGCGGTGCTTTTGGTGCGCACTCCTACCCCGAAACACTTCCCATAGGTCTAAGTAGTATTCTTGCACGGCATTATTTTAGTGTTGTTGGCGCTATTGCTTTTGAATGTGGCGTTGCCAATGCCAACAATATAGGCAAAATGCATCTGCAGAAAACTGGAAAACGCATACGTTCACAGCGCAGGTTTCTGATGATGATTTGCGGCGCGCCCTCACTTTCCATGTGGTAAACTCATGTAAATTCATGTACATTCACACCTTCCCTTGAACCATGTGCATGGGTTGGCTAATCTGTGTACTTGAAACCGACACATGTCTAAAGCTTTGAGCGCGACACCATAGCGTTGTTAACGTAATTTTTGCAATTTCCGCGTACCAAGTTGGAAGTGGACCAACTATACAAACATAACATATACAAAATTAATCACAATTATGTGTTTGGTTTATCGTCGCTAGTCTTCGCTGACATCTTAGTTATTTTCGATGAACACATCGCTGACTTAATTTCTGCTTCATGTGCTACCAACTTGGGCTCAACATAATGTGCCGGACTGTCGGGTGCTCTAGATGGTGTAGGCGCGGGTGAAATGTTCACAATTTTTTGTTGCTGCCGCTGCTGCACCAACCTCAGTTTCCAATTAAGCTATATACCATGCCGTGAACGTAATTTTTTCAATTCCATGCTAGTGTTTCGCTAATCCGCCAAAGAATACATTGGATGTTAAAAGCAAATTGGGCACCACAAATAACGCATACGACACACCCACAAGTCAGGCTAGGAGTAGACGAACGCAAGACAGCAAGTATGACCCACCCCTGCAGAATCAGGGTAAATTTGAGCAAACACTAATTCCATCAAACTTCTTGTGGACTTGGGACGTTGACATCGATCGAAGTTGAGATTACAGTATATGCTGTTTGTGTTGGAACCGTCCGACATTTTGCCAATGTGGCAGGACATCCCAGAGTTGGAGTTGTGTTTCCTGTTTTTGGCAGCACATGCATTTACATGCATAGTTACAGCAGCTGGAACAGTGGAAGGACATAACAGGAATGTCAGTTCACTACTCTGTTCATTGGTCCCTCTCCCTTCAGTCCTCCGCAAACACCCTGCAAGTTTGCGACCCTTTGTACTAATACGACATTTTTATGTTTATTATGTATTTGTATTAATATGTATTATTCATTGCTATGTTTTGAATCACTTTCTGGCCACGAGGCAAGATGGAGATGTATTCAGATCAGACCAAACATCGAAACAATGCCACGACGTGATTACACTATCCGCCCAGCGCATGCAGTTACCTTACCCCCTTTGACATCTATAGACTATAGCGGCTCCCAAGACTAATTGCGCACAAATGACAAACGATAAAAGGGTTCTTGTGGTTCCGTATGGGACCTCACCAGGATCGAATCGGGGAACCTGGCACGGCATGGCGAACCACTGAGGATATGAACCCCACCACTGAGGCTCGCTGCGATGCACTGCATGCCGGCAATTGGCAATAGGAGATGACGATGGAGATTTGTGGGCAATATGTGGAACAGATGTAGAACATGACCTGGATAGGACTTGGCTTTCGATCAACTCATTAAAAGCATTTGAACAAAGCGCAGAAGTCAGCATGACCCTGATAAAGAGGCTTTATGTCCCTGAATTGGTGTTCAGAACGACCGGATTCAGTTCAGTCAGAAAGACCCTCTCCACCGGTGCCCTCCGGCGGAACCTTTCGCGCGCCGTTGCGCTGGCCAGGTCGGGCAAATTGCCCGTTTGGGAGAACTCCATCACCACTGCGCCGCTCCGCACCAAAGAGACGAATGGCGGGTTCCGGGTTCAACCAAGCGAAGGGCAGACAAGTAGGGCAGGGCAGATCGCGCAAATGGATTTTGCTCAGCCACCGAAGCCTTGTAATCACCGGGAAGAACGCTCTATGTGGATTGCGTGCTGCTTCACCAAAGCTGGTTCTTGCTTGGCGGCGAGATGGCCCAGAACAATTAGTCACCAGAAATCGTTTTTTACGCCAGATCATGCCAGTGACTTCGAACATCCCAGAGGGACTCTGATAGAGCACACCCTAGGATTCGAAACACCATTTATAGGGCCTTTATGGGCTTTTACACAACACCAGGTCAACAATTTTAAAATGACCTTGGACTCCCAGGGTGAATTAAACATTGTGGATTGCGTCGTTTCGTTGTTTGTCCTTTTGCTGCGTGTCTAACTCGACTGCACCACCCTCAAGGCTGGTGTATTATCAATCTCAACAAGCAGCACACCGGTGTCGCCAATCGAACTCGGTTCTACCTTCGACCCAGGTCATGGCCGCGGCCGTGGGGGTGGCTGCAGGGACGCCCGCCGACGCCCAGAGGTGCCAAGGGTCCAGGTGGAGGGCTTTTGGGGCGATGAAGGGGTGGGGGAAGAACCGGGCTTTGAGCTAGCCACACAAATTCTGAAAAAAACTCATGCAAGGACCTAGGCTTTGGACACCAACCCATTGTGTTTTTTTGTGTTCTAAATGTTCTAACACATCCGAGGTGCTGTCTTGTTCGTCCCCCTGGCTTAGCTTTTGACACTCGAGTCTTTCGAGTCTTCACCATGCGTTGGTCCGCCCGTGTTTGGCGCAAAGACGGCCGGAAGGCAGGTGACCGTTTGCTTGTTGAGGTCAAGCTTCTGACGAGAGTCAGCGAAAAAACCTCAATTCATACCCCAGCCTGAAACAGCATGTCTATCACTTGCCTTATAGAGATTGATTGCGCCATCCGTACCTGACCGAGCACCTGTGCGTTGTGGACGTCGCACCGAGCTGGGAGGAGCGCGCTGCTGGCATTAGCCGCACGGAGTGCAGGACGGAGCGCAGTGCAGGGCGGCCGCTTGAGGTGACCGGAGGCGGTGACCGAAGCATACGAAGATAGCTTGAATCGAAAGCCTATGAAATTGGCAGGCGATATACCCCTCACATAACACGTTTTGTGGCTTCCCTGATACACTTGTTTTTGGTTGCGGAGGATATGATTGGACAAAATACCCAGGAAAGCCACAGGCTGACCTTTGGCAGACCTTTGGCTGGTGAAGATGGGCCATTGTTAACATGTGGTTCCTCAATGGAGGAGCCTTACCACTTTTCGATGCAGTTGGTCACCAGCTTTCAGGCTCAGGATCGCCTGCAGGATCTTCACATCCAAGCGACTGATGCAAAGCAGGTGCACAGCCAAGAGTTTGCATCCCGATCCTAACAGGTTTCAGGAACGCTTGGTTTGCGCGTGTCAGAATTATATGGATTCACTTTAAAGCCTTTTGCTGGTTATTGTGTAAGACAGACTCATAGCTTTGGTTTGGAGTAATTGAACGTTCAAAGACTGAGAAGATACTTGGTGCGTCGCATGGGTAGTACAAACGGAAATTCAATGCAGCAGCAAGACCCATACCCATACCCATCATTGATATGGACATGGACATGGTGCAAGGCATTTTTCAAGCATGGAAGGTTCTGATGCAGATGCCGATTCTAGAATAATCCCAGGTTGTAGGTTGTAGGAGATTTGGGTGCGTGGGATCTGCAAACAATATTGAAAGAATGCTCAAGTACGTACTCTCCCGTTATAACTGGGCAGGTCCCTCCCTCGATGGCGGTGGATGATGGCAGTCATTCCCAACCATATTCTTGTTGAGTGTTGCCATGAACAAACCGCCCAACGAACAGTTCCGTGACACCCAACGAGTGTTCCATGCCCCTTTTTCAGCTCACGAACAGTTCCGCGAACCCTCGTGACCCGCAGTTCACCGCCCGGCGGACCCGGCGGGGCGCCATGGCGGCCTCGGCCATCTGGGAGGTCGTCGGCGGCGCCGAGTGGCTCGGTGGAGCGGCTCGACGGGTCGAGGAAAACGGACTCCCTCAAGACGTATCTCCGCATCTCCTTGAGCAGAAATGGAGGGGTGATGGGGGGATGTAGACCGTTGGTTGTTCAATCAGTACCTAAACACCAGCTGCCTTGGGGTTTGGAGATCAGTTCCTAGCTTCTCCCAATAGTACACACCACGGGATCCCATTAGATGCTGAAGATTTTTCTGAGCATTTCTTCTGATTGTGAAATCCCATAGAACCCCTATGAACCCCTGGAAGACACTTTCAAGAAAGGGATACCCAATGCTACCCCAATGCAAGTAAGTCTTGTCAATTGACATGGGCATCGATCTAAAGGTCCATGAAAGGAGTTTCATATGGAACAGCCATTTCGGTTACTAAGTACCAACCAGGCGAAAGACCGCGAAAGTTAAACACAGGGTTCGCGAAGGTTTTTTTTTGCGAAAGTTCATGTAACCATGTATGTTGTTTGTAGGTAAAGGGACCCTTATTTGTTTGCTTACTGTGATCTTTTCAGACCACCAGCTCAGAAGGAATCAGAGTCTTCCTTTAACTACTATATATACCCATGTACCCGAACTTCTTCTGAATATGTAAGATCATACTTCGCGAAAGTTCGCGAAAGTTAAACATGGGGTTCGCGAAAGTAATCGTTTTTTTTTGCGAAGAGGCACTTTCCAGATGAAAGGAATTTAGATCAACCACCACATCTTTCTGTGGAAAAACTATGAAAAACGTGATTCATCCAATCGAGCATCGCTTTGGATGTTCAATCCACCTCAGGAAAGGTGGTATTTTGGTCCGAGAAGAGGCGGACCTGAAGTCTGCAGAGCTTCATTCGCGGCTCGCGCCAGGTGGGAGGGTGTCACACTGTGAGAACCTTTCTTCCATGTTCTTCCATTTTTTGGGTGTCTAGTCTAGGCATGTCAATGACTTGCAACATGTCTTTACTTCGAGTGATCCCCACCATGACATTTCAATCAGTTGTTTCATGGCATGGTGAGGAACATGTAGTTGCTATAGTCGGTGCTTGTGGGTCCTCGGGTTTGGGGTTGTTGTTTTAGTGTTGGGGAGTCCGCGTCGGGGTGTAGGCAGGGTCTCCAGTTGGCATCACCTGCCACGCAAAATGCAACACTGACCGGAATTAACGGTAATTACTGTATATTGTTGTGTTCGTGGCTGTGTGTTTGTGGTTGTGTGTTGTATATGTGCTTGTGGTTGGTTGTGTACTGTGTGCTGTGTTTTGTGTTTTGTATGCTTTGTTGGTTGTGTACTGTGCGTTGTGTATTTGTGGTTGTGCTTGTGGTTGTCTTCTGCTGGCTGTGTATTGCGTGTTGTGTGTTTGTGGTTGTGCGTTGTTAGTGGTTGTATGTTGCCTGTGGTTGTGTGTTGTTTGTGGTTGTGTGTTGTTGGCTGTGTGTTGTTGTTGGCTGTGTCGTGTGTTTGTGGTTGTCTTTGTGGCAGTGTGCTGTTGGTCGTGTATTGTGTGTTGTGTGCTTGTGTGTGTGTGTTGTGTGTGGCTGTCGGCTGTGACTGTTTTGTTGGTTGTGTGCTGTGTGTTGTGTGTGTTTGTGGTTGTGATTGTGCTTTGTTGGTTGTGTATTGTGCGCTGTGTGTTTGTGGTTCTCCGCGTATGCACTTCATGCCCCCTGCATGGCGTAAGCTGAAATGTGAGTCGCGTAAGGAAAGCTCAAGCATGTGCGTAAGCACCCTCCTTACGACCCTTCGCTCCAAAGATAGGTTGTGAACAACGCTCAATTGCGATCGATCTGCGCATGTAAACAGAAGACCAAGCCAAATGAAATACCACAGTCGGTCAAACTGATCAAAGGAGGATTGGGAGGAGCATGCGATTTGCATGTTTCGAATGCATTCGACACAACGACCTTCCAACGTCCAACGCCTCAAAGACACCAATGAAAAAATAGCCCGGCAAGAGACCCCAAACAGTGCGTGTGTGTGAGGTCTAGAGGTGCAGCAGCACAAAGTCTAGAGATCTAGACGCATTGGGGTCCAGAGACGTGATGGTGGTGATGAGTGAGTGAGTGAGTGAGTGAGTGAGTGACTGAGTGAGTGACTGAGTGAGTGAGTGAGTGAGTGACTGAGTGAGTGAGTGAGTGAGTGAGTGAGTGCGTGAGTGCGTGAGTGCGTGAGTGCGTGAGTGCGTGAGTGCGTGAGTGAGTGAGTGAGTGAGTGAGTGCGTGAGTGCGTGGGTGGTTGGGTGGGTGAGTGAGTGAGTGAACTTCGAGGATTTCAGGAGGCATGAATGTATATATTGCAAATAGCAGCGAACAAGCCGGCCTTGTTCTGGCTGACTGCAGAACACCTTCCAAATTCCACTTCCAATGGTTTGTTTTTGCCTCCAAGCTTGAAACTCCATCGAATGATGGCTTTTCCTTTCCCATCCGTCGGAGGTGTCTTCGTCCAGCAAGTGGCGCTACAAGGCGAGCGTCTCCACTTCTCGAAGCTTTGCGGCGACGGACCCGACAGCGGCTGGGTCTCTTTGCGGCTGAAGGCGCCGAAAGTCGGGGGCAAAAGAAAAGCAGAGCAAAGAGCATGGCTCGCAGGTGCGCAGGTCGGGCTAGGCAAAAACATCCAAAAATGGTTGTGAACGATGCCCATGGATTTGGCCGATCATAGTTTCTGCACGGTGTTTTTTGAGCAGTGGTTTGTGTGCGTCGTTCAATTGATTTTTATTTATATATATATATACATTTGTTTTTATATCAATGCACTGCTATTGCCGCAAGTGGCTAGTCCGGTTATTCTTGGTGTTTCTTTTGGTTAGTTGGGTTCTTTGCGTGGGCACTTTCAACGATTGCATCTTCATCCACACGTTCCACCCGAAACCCTAAACCGATTGCTGTCACACCGGACGGCGTGCGAAGGATGAAGGAAAAACTACACCGACATTTGAGTTGCGTTTTTTTCCTGGAACACTGCACTACATGTTAGGAGGAACTCTTGTTATGGTTGCGAAAACATTTCCTCATGTGTTTCATGACGCGCGAAAGCTTGCGTAGCCATTTCGGGTACAGTCTACAGTGTTTCGTTGCGAAGGCATTTTGCGAAGGCCGTGTTTTCATGCATGTCCTTTATAGAATGGACCGGAGCTAACACAAAACCTTGCGAACCTTTAGCAAAAACACCTCTTACATACATACGTACACCACCCTCGCGTAGGCAAATTTGTTTGGGGATAAAAATTGGCGAAAACATCGTGGAGGTATGGGTATTTAGTGGCTGTCCCCCAGACCACGCACAAAAACACAGCTCATTTGATGCTTCACGTGGGGACTTGCCATGCCTTGCCCCAAAGCACCGGGTGTCCCGCCATGCCTTGCACTCCGTGCGCGGATCGCCGCGGTGAGACCAGGAGAAACCGTTGCTGGAGCAGCGCGGCGAGGCAACATCGTTGGAACTCGAGACCCTGGAGTCGGTTGACACACGGATCCGGTGGATTTGGTGCAAGTGGCACTGGGGACGGCTAGAAGAGGTGCCCCTGGATTTGGAGGACGGATCAAGCTGTTTCATGTTTTCGGTCATTTGTCGAGCAGAACAATCAGAGGTGGTGTTCATTGGAAGGGGTTTCCAACGGTGTTTCCGATTCTTTTGTAATTTTTAGTATGCAACAGTGGTGTGGCAGTGTCCTTATTTTTTGACAAGAACGGATTTGCTGCTGAGTAATTGAGTGCCCGCTTGGTTTGCTTTGGCGGGTTGCGAAGCGGTGGCGAAAAGGAGCTTGGAGAGCAGAAGGAAGCGAAATGCGTGCTGTTGGCATTTCAGATTTGCATGTCACGATTCCCAAAAGCCCTCAAGTTGGCAGAGGAACTCGGAGACCAGAATGTCCCGAGATTAATCGAGCAATGGGTCTCCCGCCATGTGCTGAAAAAGATTTTGTTTTTGATGTGCGAGACCCAAAATTCCGGTGGAAATCACTAGATGGCACACATCTTTCGGAGAAACATCCAGAAACCCTTTTG